TGTGTGTGTGCGTGTGTGTGTGTGTGAAGACCTACAAGTGGCGCCTTCCGACCACCCACATTCGAGAATCTGATTTAGTGTGTATAAAGTAGAAGAGACGCTTTTCGTTGGTATTTATTGTGTATGTATGAGTGATTCACTTTGTTGAAATATTTATTTACGCATTACTGAAATGAATGTACAGCTTGCCTCTATACATATTCCGTTTTCAAAAGTATTTGTATGGTTTGTTGTGGGTGTTTTTCATGAGTGTTTTACAGCGCTCGTAAACAGGGATTTAAAAGCTTACAAATGAGATGCCCTGTTTCCTAAACCATATAAGGTAACCAAAACTTCAATACTTGAATCTTTCCCCCAAAAATAATCCCGTCGTTCATCGCATAAGTGACTTTCTAAGAGTTACAATTTGTCAAATCAAGCTACTTTTTCACCGCGCCGCACTTTTTTAAAAAGTTGAATATAATTTTAAATGAAAAATCTGAAGAGCAAGTTTTATGGAGAAGGATACTCCCCAACATACCGCAGCCGTCGTCTTTGATGTAATGTTACAGGATCTTCTGATGTGTGCTTTCGGGTGGGGTGGGGGGTGGGGTGGGGATGGGGGATGTTTTACGGAACTCACTACTGCTTAAGATCATATGAGCGCACAGGACACATTGAACATTTTTATAGTTTAGTAGGAATTAATTTTGAATCTTGCCCAGGTGGCAACCGAAGCCTACCCGTATTGATTTTGGACCAGCAAAAGGAATCTTTAACGAGCGCAACGTGCACGCGGGACCTCCGAGATTCTTTGGCCTTATCCGAGAGATCAGGGGTGAGACTGAAAGACAACAGTAAGAAGGAGCCAAGGAGTAGCAGTAGAAAGGTTGCAAAACGAGTCAGGAGCCCAGAGAAGGGGGAGGGAGGTGGAAGGTGGGGGTAGAAAGTGGAGTCGAAAGCAGACTACAGGACATTGATGAAGAGCAGGAAAAGACGTGAAAGGAGAGAATATTAGAGAAGAAAATGTTCCGTCACTATTCGGATTCGAACCCGAGACCTATTGAATGAGGGGCGAACACTGTAACCTCTAGGCAGCGAGAGCCCCCACAAGATCTTCTATGGGCATACGCCTGAAGAAATTATAAAGACATGTCGGGTATTTCCTTCTGTCTACCGAGGTACTGTATCCCTTTACCTCATCACTGGTTAGCCCTGGTAGGTAGGGTCAAAACAACCCCCCCCCCCCCCCCGCCCCTGCAAATAAACAAACAAACAACTACCAAACAACACGACAAACAAACAAGTATATAAACAAACAAACAAGCAAACAAACACCAAATGCTTCAAGTTGTATCGGTGGTAGCTTACGTAAAACAGCCAAAATATGAAGAGAAAAAAACTTGTCAAGAGCATTCCTGGAATTAATTTTCGTGCATTCGATCTAATTTTTATTTCCGTTTCCCAACAAGCCTTGAATGCTTCCTTTCAAAAGTGCCACTTCTCCCTTGTGGTTCCTGTTTCTATCACAGAACAAAAATCACAAAACTATTCAAGTGTTTCTATCTGTCTATGGAGACCAGTCTCAATCAATGACCTCCAGAGGGTGAGTGGTGTGCGTGTGTGCAGAAATATCGGACCGTTTTCAAGATGAGTGTCGTGTTCGTTTGGTTTGAAGATGGACGAGAGTGAGTGAAGGTGATGGCTGGACTGATTCTAACTCAATTGTTGAGAATACAGAATGAGAATTATTTTATTACGTGCTGTACAGATCTAGAGAAAAAAAAAAATACATGAAGAACATTTAGATTGAGCCACACGGTCCCCACCTCAAAATTGGGGGGAGAGGACATGCGATCACTCTCTGAGACAAACTCATGAACAAACTGTCGACAGATATAACTCTAGAAAAAAGTGAATGAGAGAGAGGGGGAAAATATGGAAAGAGAAACTGAATGGCAGAGAGTTGGTGAGAGAGAGAGAGAGAGAGAGAGAGAGAGAGAGAGAGAGAGAGAGAGAGAGAGAGAGAGAGAGAGAGAGAGAGAGAGAGAGACAGAGAGAGAGGAAAGGAGGATGGAGAGAGAGAGAGAGAGAGAGAGAGAGAGAGAGAGAGAGAGAGAGAGAGAGAGAGGGGGGGGGGAGTTCTGTCTAGAATCAAAACCAAACTCTAAAACCAGGTAATATGTCTGGAAACAAAACAAAAGACAAGCTTTCCATCCAAAACCTTTCAATTTTGCTTTGCCCCTGTATTACTTTTTTTTCCACACCAAAATGAAAACTAACAAAGCCGAGAGGCAACAGAAAACGATAATGTGATAACTTTGTCACGAACAAAGAGTCGCTTTCAGTTTTGCTTTCTTCGCTCTCAGGGTCAAGGTTTCGCCATGGTTCATGCTGTCTCGTCCGGTTCGAGTGTGCATTTTTTCTTTTACAGATTTGCTATTTTCTCCATAAAAAACAAACAAGTTAGAGGAACGCGTGACGTTGGTGGTCTAATGGTTAGGGTACTGGACTCGTAACCGTGAGTTTGCGAGTTCGGGGGTTCGAACAGCAGGCCCGACGTTGTGTCCTTGGGGGTTTTTCTCACTTCACCCAGGTGGGAATGGGTATCCAGCTATAGACAGCGAAAGATCTTACCAGTGTTTTAGCACCGATAAATGGCAGTGTGCTCTGATTGCTTTCCAGGAAGCTGAGATTTGTATCAGATTGCTATAAGGCCTGCTGGGATTATATTAGTATAGATGATAAAGCGCATAGACCTTGCTGTTAAGGGTGAATTTGTGCTATACAAATTGTATTATTATTATTGTTATTATTATTATTATCATTATTATTATTGTTATTATTATTATTATTATTATTATTATTATTATTATTATTATTATTATTATTATTATTATTATTATTATTATGATGATGATGATGATGATGATGATGATGATGATGATGATGATGATGATGATGATGATGATGATGATTATAATTATTATCATCATCATCACTATTATTATTATTATTGCTTCAGGGGGTTCACTCTTAGAAGTCGTCACCTCTATATTGACTAGACGCTGCATTATTGCTTTTTCTTGTCTTCCTCAAATTGTTTAAGTATCTGCTTGCCTTTACCCCAATTACCTTTTTAAAGATTTCATTTTTTCTGGACACTTCGATGGGTAACACAGCATAGTAGTATAAAGCCTGTATCTTCGACGCTGAAAAATGCTAAGGGGCGTATTTTTCAACTAAACTTGCTACTTCACCAAAGCATGGAAAAAACATTTGACTTGTAATACGGGGTGCCCACTACAACAGCTGGATCGGTCGGATCGCCCGACTCGATTGCCTGAAACTAAAAATAAACACGTGTTTTTGAGGCGACCGAGTCGTGCGATCGGCCCGATCGGGCGATCCCATCCGTAGTGGGCACCCCGTTTAAGAGTTAAAGCGTCCGATGGTCGAACAAAAGCTGACCACTGATTTGTTCATTCCTGCCCGTCGCTTACGTAATGTTGTGACTTGTTCTGTTTCCCCTCCACAATGGTAAGACACTCATGTTTGTTGCGGAAATGGTGCAGTGATGTTGCCGACTATCATTGCACTTTTAGTATTTATATACTGCGTGTTTTCTTTTTTTCTTACATTAAAAAAAACTCCATTTATTTTTAAACAACGTGAGGTACTTAAGAAATTGGACCTCGTTTCTTTTTTAAGCAGGTGTTATCATACCTTCCATCGACACAATGTCGATGATTTAGGAGGCGGGCTTCATCATCCTAGCAGAGAGACTGAGATACTCATTAAAAATTCTCCCCACTCCGACAGCAAAGCACATAACTGCCTCATCACAGATGCCGTTGAAGTAGGCCGAGGACCGGAGAACAGCGACTGTATTTTCAAAAAGAGGGGAAAAATTTCGTTCGGGAACAGCGACTGTGCTAAGCGAATACCTCTTCTTGATGGGGATGTTTTATGTGCTTTGCTGCTTAAAAAGAAGATAAGTGAGGCAGCGTGATGAAATCTGACGCTCGTCAAAATAAGGAAATTGATGAAACTGACATTTTTCTCCTAGTTTGGCAATTTTTATCAAATATTTGGTTGTTTTGGCTGAACCCCATTGGTGTCCAATTAAGAAAACACCTCTGGGTGGATTTTTACTGGAAAAACGTTGGTTAAAGGCACAAAGAATGTAAGTTTTCAGTTTTCACGGAATGTCAAGCTAAGGAAATAACCAAACTTTGGCGGCCCATTTCTCGCAAAATTTTACCTTTGAAACCAGGCGACCCCACCTTCTTCAATCTCAAATGTCTTGACTTCTATTCAAGATAGATCTAGATGAGTATTTTCTTTACCAATGGCAAGACAACTGAACAAGCTTTAAGATGATACCAACAACTCCACATGCCACAAGTTGACAAGTGCCTGATACCACCACGCCGTGACACATATATTACTGTGCGATATAAGTAAGACTAGGGAGAGGCGAACTGGGATGCAATTGAAGTTTATGTACAATGCACAGATACAAAATACAGCTGGTTTCTAGAGGTTGCTGACACATTTTTCTCTGAACTTGAATTTATCCAAACGAAACGTATTTCCGAGAATCCTGAGTAAGAAAATCCCAAAACAAAACGGATGTTTATGAACGATGCATGTTTACAACAATGATTATTGTCCTAAAAAAAACTGGGAGGGGTTATTCTTTTACGCTTAACAGTATTTCCCCTTAACTCTGTCGCTCTCCTCGCACAGCCCCCCAAGCCTGTTATAAAGACGTCGGACGAAGTTTGGCTCAATTACTCGCTTGTTTTCCCCTCGGAAAAGCCAACGTCAGGAGACAGCAACAGCTGGAGAAAACGTAAGTATCAACAAGTTTATTACGAAAACAATATTCTAGGAAACTTGTACTTTTCATTTTCATAACTAATTTTTCTCCGGTTTCTGTCTCTCTGTATACGGCCCTCTGAAATGGCAACGCTGTAATCGTTTAAAGGTGTATGGAACACTCGCTGCTTTAGAGGTGAAAAGTAAAACCGTGAACAAATTATGCATTTTGGTTTACTCTCTGGGATGACGTGTCTCGAGTATTACATGGTATGTTTTCTGAAAACAAGACAAAGAAACAAAAAGGGTCCAGTTTTATTATATCGCCACTAGTCCTGTATTAGCCAAGTTCGCTTGTAGTATTTACCCCTTCAGATGTCACACGCGTTGTTACAAAGATGAAAATTATCTGAACTCATTATATTGCTTTTTTGATAGATCCAGACGGGCTGATTAGCCACGCCAAAACTTGCTTAATCCACTTTGTATAATAATATTGTAAAGTTCTCCTTTCATTGGGTCTTGCTATAAACTTTAGTAAGGAGCCTAAATCAACCTTTTAATTGATATCCGCATATATTAAGGAGGGGCATGTATGTATGGTATAAGGTTTTACGGCGCTCGCAACTGCTAAGGTCATATGAGCGCGCGAAACACAAGTTGTTCACCTCTGCGCAAGTTCACTTCACGACTGGCTAATTTACTTTAAAATGCTAAAAAGTTAAAATATTCAAATT